CCCACCCCACCCCACCCCACCCGTCCCCACTGTATTGTTGGTTATCAGGGATGCCCAGGAGACCACAAGAATATAGTTCTACTGGGATGACAGGTAGGCTCACAATTTCCTGTTTCCTGCCCTGTTATGGTAACACCATAAGAGGGTACTTGAGTTTGGTCTTCTTTTGTTTCCCCACTTTCCCCATTGTCTTTTTCACACTCTGCTGTGTGCCATGGGAAGTGACAGTATAAACTGCAACATAGGCTCCCATGTCCTCAGGATTTAAGGGGGCATTTTCTAACCAGGAGGGAAAACAAAAGCTCAGAAGCCAGCAGGAGGTTGGGGCATAGGTCCTTCTAGGTTCTTCCTTGCTGTGTTGGCAGAGGTTAGCTTCTCCGTGGCAAGAGCAAGACAGCTCTGTCCTTACAGTAACTCTATTCCTTTTGTACCCATTCTCTTATCTAGCCACATAACTTCTGAGATCACTTTGCCATCTCCAGCCCCAAGATACTCCACACAATCTGGTTGGCTATTCTGCCTCAGTATTATTCAGGCACTTATTAAACTCTACCTGGTTAAGACCTGCGAGCCAGCTTGCTTCCTCTTGGAACCTTGATAGGTACTTTATAACAGTTATCACATACTTGTGGCCTGGCATTTTATTGCATCTTGCAGCTATCAGAATGAATAAATTACTCACCCACAGTCACAAAGGTAGTCATCAGAAAGGCCTGTATACAACAGGCCCAACAAGAATGGGATTCATGACTGTAGTCTCATTAGTCCTTGATGCTAATCACTGAGATGCAGCTCAGGGCCTGACACTGCCCATTAGGACAGCATGTGGTAGAGACATTTGGCCTGTCTGTACAATCTACTTCTTATACAGAGAGGGAGGGTACTGTGCTTGTTCTAGCTGTGCTGAGAATTAAAGTCTAGCTGTGTGACCTAGGGCGGTGCTCTTAACCTCAATCCCTGGTTTCCTGTCTTTAAAGGCTTGCAAAAGACTTTGTAATGACACAACAGGACAGAAATGGAAGACCTGATTAGTGCTGGCACTGCACAGAGTCACTTGCATTTAAAGCGATTTCATTTGTTGCCTGTACAGCACAGACATTTCTCAGTTCTACGTGTAGTCAGACATTCACTCTACTGTAGGTCGAGTAAGTAGCTAGAAAAATCATTTGATAGGGGTTTTCATTTAGATATTAAATGCCAGATAAATATGGTAACTTAAGACACATAAGACTATGTATGTGCTATATCCTTAGGACTCTCATACCCACCTGACCACAGTCAAGGTGGGGAAGGAAAGAAAGGAACTAGTCCAACCCATAGCAACACATGGTAACCGAATGTCTTCCAAATGTATGATGTTGGGGTAGATGAAGGACCAGGAGAAAGAGTACTGGGCTGGACATTCAGTTATGGTCCATATCCAGGTTGTGTCATTGACCATCTGTATGGCATCAGACAAACTTTTCAATTTTTCCAAGTCTCAGTCTCCCCATCTGCAAAGTGGGAGTGATGAGAACCACCTTGAAGTGTTACCAAGAAGTCTTAGTAAGTTGACTCACTTGAAGCACACATTATTGGCCAGGAATGACACATTGAGAGCCCACTGCTATTGTCACTGCTTATTGTTATTAGAGGAAACAGAGTTTGCACTCCTGATTCAAAATCTAGCTCCTCCTCCCTCCCCTCCTAGGTGGGATTCTGGATATTGTACCTCGAGAGACCCAGCTAACTCATCTGGCTATGGGTGCTAAAGGTATTCACCCAGTGAGGTTGAAATACTACTTAAGGTGGCTTACTGGTACATGAGAAAAAATCACCAATTTTTAGGTTACTATAACTTTTTCTTGTCCAGCTGGTTCTTTGTCACCTTCTAAGACAGAGCTGAGAGGTCAGTCATCTCCTTCAAGCTTTCATTGGACTCCCTCCTGAGGCTTCAGTCTGACAGCCTCTGCTCTGGGACAGTCTCTTTTCTCACCTGACCCCGCTCATCAGGCAGAATCCGAGTCTGAAAGGTCCGTATTTCTATCACCCAGTGAAACATCTTCTTGGTATTTGTGAAGTGACTAATAAAAGGGAAAAGCTACTGGCATGGTGAGCAGATGCTTAGAGCAACTCAGTCTTGCTGGAGACAAGCTGCTGAGAATTGGATTCCTCCTTGTGAAATCATCTGGAGAGCTACAGACACAGAGACTACCCTTCTTTGTAGTCTGAAGCCCTAGACTCAGGTCTTGGTTACACAGCAGGTCCTTTGTTAGCTTTGTCAGGCAGGGTCCAGTAGTGAAGTGGAAACCACTTTGAGCATTGCAGACAGAGGGGATTCAACATGGAGAATTGGCTTTACAGGTTCTAGAGGAGCTTGATGACACAGAAAGAACCATGGGTCAGCCTCAGGGTCAACAGACCTTGGAGCCCCTAGGTCAGTGGTTCTTTACCTCCCTAATGCTGTGACCCTTCAATGTAGTTCCTCATGTTGGGCTGACCTGTAGGGCACACCTGTAGCCAGCCCCTAAGCAGGCATGGCAGGGCGTGGTCAGGCACACCTGTAATCAGCCCCTATGCAGGCGTGGCTACAGCATCCCCTACAGTGACCCCGCAACTAAAACATTATTTCTTTTGCTACTTCCTAATTGTAATTTTGCTATGGTTATGAATCATGATATAAATATCTGTGTTTTCTGATGGTCTTAGGTAGTCCCTGTGAAAGGGTCATTTGACCCCCTAAAAGGGGTCATGACCCACAGGTTGAGGAACACTGCCCTAGAGGAACAAGACCAAAATGATAAGAGCTGGAGACTGGAGATTTCCTGGGAGGAACAGGAACTCAACTTAAAGAAGCAGGAGATGTAGATGAAAGAAGCTTCCACCCAGGAGGGAAGAGAGCAGAGGCACCCTGGTTTCTCTCTTCTTGCCATCCCTGGGGGTTCTAGCAATTTCTCTAATTGAGAAAGCTTTTCTCTTTCCCTGAACACTATAACCATGCTCACAAGTGCACAGTCACTACCATCGGCAAAGCACAGGTGAGTAGAGAGTGTCAAGGAGTAACTGGGGTGACCAGACCAATAACCATGCTGGACAGAGTGCACATCTAGGAATGTGATTTTGCTGGGTGTTTCCATTCACATAACAAAGGCCAGATAGCTCCAGCAACTCAGGCATTAAGGCTCTATGTTGCTACACATCTACCTGAGGACAGTCACATCTACCTAGCCATAATCAAAGGAGAGGAAGGAACCAATCTAGTCTGCACTGGCATCTGTTGGCTGAGTGTTCACCCAGTGTAAAGTGTAGGATAGTGTTGGGTTCAAGGTTAAATAAATGTTCATTGAACTAATGAACCAAACGATGCTACGAGAAAATTCATGAAACCTGCTACTGTACTCCATAGCTGTCTATAAATGCATTTGAGAGTCTGAGGGATCAGTGGGAATCTGAGTCATTCTTCAAGGCCTCTGGGCTCTGAGTTGAGTCCTGGAGAAGTCAAGTTGGATCACTAATACTGGGATATCCACTTGGCAATAGTGGCCATACTTCCTCTTTCGTAGACTCACTTCTGTGCATACCTTTCTTGGCTCCTGTTTGAGCTGAGTCCCATTCTCAGTAGTGTCTGGAATGTGGTGGCAGCCTCTCTCCTACTTGGTTGTGTTAATTCCAGGCTCTCTTCTCTACACTCTGCCTTTCCTCCAGTAGTAGATAAATTGTAAAGCTCAGTGTTCATAGGACCCCCCACATTCAAACACCTTCAGTAGCTTTCTCTTTCCTTCAGAGTTCAACCAACTACGTCATCAAGGATCTAGCGCCAACTTCATTTTCCAGTGTTCCCACTGTACTGTTTCCACCACTCTCAGAGGTGATACGTATTTCTTTTCAAGCTCCTTCCTCTTGGCAAGAGCAGTTCTCTAACCAAAGGCACATCATCCCTCACTTTGACTTTGAATTTGACTTGCACTTGAAGCCTTGGCTCATATAATTGTCTGCATCCTTGATGTGCGAAGTGATATGTTTCCCACCCCTGAATCCCAACAGTATTTTATCTGAACCTACAACAGTCATCAAGTTCTAGTTTATCCTAGTTTACCACAGATGGGCACAGCTTATGTCTCTTCTGATGTTTTTGAAGGCAGAGACACTGGCATTTTTAGTTTCATGGGTCTCATAATATCTAGCACAATGGTTGTACCTTCAAATGAGTGGTTGAGTGGACAGACACATACAAATTAATATATGGGTTGAATGAATAAGATTAGCAGTTTCCCTGGAGCTGCAAAGAGCAAATTAACCTGCGTGAAAGAAGATCCAGCTTTGGATAGATGATCAACTTGGGTCATACAAAATAGGGAAGGGATACATTGCTCTGGACATGATCCAGCTGCCTTCTGGTGGACAGGTTCAAGACAGCCTTTCAGTTAGATCTTGAGTCTGGACAGTCAACTGTAGCCCAGAGCTACTTAGTCCAATCAAGATACTCACATCGATGTAGTTGGCATTGATGTAGTCAGAGTGGGGGTCTCCATCCAGCACCAACAGCCTCACCCGGGAGTGGTCATCTGCAGAGAGAACAAGAGGCAGGAAGTGGTAGATGAGAAGCCATGGGATGAAGACTCAGTAGTTTTCTTCTTTAGAGCTGTCATTGATTAGCTACTGCACTCCAGGTACTATGCCACTTTCTCACACTTATCTGTCATTTATAGATGAGGAAATAGAGGTACAGAGAGGTGACAAATCTGAAAAGGGACCCCTCTTCTAATTTCTATTTTGATTATGATTTCACCATTACCTGAACAGGTGTGTCACCTGCTTCCTAAGTCTTAGTGGTTTCATCACCAATATGGGGATGGAAATACCTGCTTCATGGGATGATACAAGAGAGGATGGTATAAGTACCTGGAACATAAGGTCATGGAGTCTGAATCAATTTCCATGCTACTTAAAAACAGCAAGTTACCTATATTTCCATGGACACAAACTACTTTATGTTTGTCTCTTGGAGCACTTGTGCAGACAGATTGTTGGCAATGTATTGTTATCAATACCATCATTAAACTAAGGACTGGGTCATTAGAAAAGAGGTCATCAATAACTAAAAACCATGTTACTGAGATGCCTTTTCAAACACAATCTAGACATAAACAAGATGTACGGCTTTAGTCAATAGCACGCTTGATACAAATAACACCAAATTAGAATCACTTTAAATGGCACATCAGAAAAAGCTGGATAATCCTTTGCAATTAATTAAAGTCAATTCTGACATGCTAATATACACGTGCTAGGGAACATCTTGATTGGGTCTGGTGGGAAGTATCCTCAATCTGCTACCTGCATCACTGCACACCTGCCATTGTATGCCTCACCCCATCATACTCCAGGGCAGAGATGGGGATCACAGTCAGTGGGCCAGAGAAGTATGGATATCCTACACCCTCACAGGGTTAAGGAGGGCAAACCAGTTTTTCCTTTTAGACTTTTACAGTACTCTGTAGTTTATAAGCACATTTGTGGTACTAATTTGAGTTTCTTGAGATGGGGCATTAGCTGCCTTGTTCTGTGTTCCATCCCTTGCAGCCCTAAGGGACTAGCACACAGCAAGTACTCAGTGAAGTACCCGGTGAGTGTGTAAATGAATGGCCACATCAGGTGCTCTCAGTGATCTCATGAGAGAGACAGAATGGTTTTGTTAGTCTTTCTTACAAATGAGCAAACTGAGGTTCATAAAAATTGGCCATATGACCAATGAATGGTACAACATAGAAAAGTGTGGGTCTGTTAATTCCAAGTTGACATATTCATACTTTCAAAAAACTCCAAGTAGGAGATTAGAAACCATATAAGTATTTACAGTGGGGGATACCCAGAGACGTTGTTGGCTGAGTGATGGAAGAAACTTTTAAGAAGTGAGATAACTGAGAAAACAACAAAGAGACACGATCTTTGCAGGCTGGATGAAGAGAGAGAGAGAGAGATGGGGGTAATATTCTCAGAACTCTAGAGTTGGAAAACTTTCTGGGACTGCAGCCACCATGGGTCTCTTTTGCAGGAGTTGGACACAAGGAACAGAGTCCCTGATTGCAAAGAAGTCACCTTGCAGAGAACAGCTCCTTTCAATGCAACATCAACTGGAAGGCCAGGGATGGGTTCAGTTATGGGCCAATAGGCCCTGGGTTGGTGTAAGACACCATTCATATCTATTAACTTCTGAGTTAATCAATCAGAAATATCAACAGGCAGCAGGCACCATGGTTGGATAATGCATTATACTGGATACCCCTTTTCTAATTCTCCACGGAGGAAACATTTCAGTGGAAGCCACTAGAAAGGAGGAGTAGGTAGGAGATAACTCTGAATGGGTATGGGCTAGAGATGTGGGGCATGGGGTGAAGAGAGTTTGAATTCATTGCAAGTCTCCAGTACTAGATACACCATTCACTTTTATCTAGAAGTAGCTCTTCACCTCATCATGGTCACAGTGATGTGCGATTATGATTCTGATTTCACAGGTAAAGGAACTCAGGTTCACAGAAGTCAAGCACATTCACAAATTCTATAGCTCCTCTCCAAGGTTCATCCTGCTCAGCTCTACCAACAGGATGCACCATCCTGAGGAATTCCAAGCATTACATGGGTAACTACTGTTGGAGTCTGTGCAGGTGAGTGGTCCCCATCCCTCAATACACAAGAGGAGGAGACTTCCTGGTGATGACCATTCAGTAGGAGTGCAATCTGATTCTGAACCAAGGCTATCAAGTCCTGTTACAAGCAGTTACAACATCTGTAAGCCTCAGAAAAGGGAAATGCATATTATGTTTTCATTCAGTGCTCTTATTAATTGACGTACTGATTCAAAATCTCTTTTATTTATGAGACTGATAAATTGCCTGCTATGTTTAAGAGGCAGATCAAAATCTCCTTTACTTACTGAGTTATGCTTGCCTGGAGACCATACCAGATGAAAGGGATATATATATATATATGAAAAAATCATTAGAAACAAAACAAAAGAATGTTACTATTTCTAGTCAAATGTTCTTAAAGATTATATGTGACTCTAACCTTCAAGATATCTACCAATACATCCATTTATTTAATAAGAATTCACTTGCTGAATACCTACTATGTGCCAGCCTAGTTGAAGGGACTAAGAAAGGATTCCAGCAGGTGAGCTTCATGCTTAAGCAGTTGGAGCAATTTGATCAAGGAGATGAATCATGAACAGAAATGAAACATCAAGGCCTCCAAAATGAGGAATAGAGAGCTTTGTGTAGTGAAACGAGACTGAGGAATTAAAAGTGTGGAAGTTTCACCCATGGGCATCAAGAAAGTCTTTCTCTTAGAGGACACTGTGGTAGCAGGGATCCTGAAAGAGCCAACACACTAAGGAAGGTAGAGTAGGGGGAGGGTTATGGAAGAATCTTTCGTCCTGGGATCACTAATTGTGAGGGGAACAGTAACAAGAGGGGGCAGAGAAGAAAGCTGTATTAGAGTGGAGTGTTCTTTATGCCCCATTAAGGCACCAAGACTCAAGTACCTAGGAAATTGAGAATTTCAACAGTGAAATATTACATACACAGCAGTGGCAAAACCCCCACAATACCACCAAATACTTGCCAATATTTGTAACAGGCACTCACTCATTGTTGGTGGAAACACAAAATGGTACAGCCACTTGGAAGATAGCAAGACAATTTCCTATAAAATGAAGAATCCATTCACCATGTGATCCAGTAATTACACTCTTTGGTATTTACCCAATGTATTTCAATCTTATGTCTATGTTAAAAATTGTACGTGAATGTTTATAGCAGCTTTGGTCATGATTGTAAAAACTTGGAAACAACCAAAAATATACTCAGTAAGTGAATTGGATAGATAAAGGGTGATATAGCCATATACTGGAATATTATTCAGTGATAAAAAGAAATGAACTCACATGCTATAAAAGGCATGGAAGAGACTTAAATACTATTGCTAAGTGGTGGAAGCCAATCTGGAAAGGCTATGTTGAATGTTGATTCTACATATGGTTCTAACTATATAATACTCCAAAAGAGGAAAAACCATGGAGTCTATAAAAACCTCAGTGGTCAGCAGAGCCTTAGAAGAGGAGGAAGGAGGGTTAAATAGGTTGAATCATGGGTGTGTTTAGGGAAAGGAAACTATTCAGTAAAGTACTGTAATTGGAATATATGCACTTTCTAGTTCTACAGAACTGAACAACATGTAACATGAGCCCTAAAGCAAACTATGGACTTGAACTAATAATAATGGACTAATATTAGTCTATCAACATCAATAAATGTTCTACACGTGTGTGAAGTGTTGTTGAAAGGGGAAACAATATGTAAGTGGTGCAGAACTCTGTACTTGCCACTCAGACTCTTTATAAAACTAAAATTGCTCCAAAAGAAATAAAGGAAAGTGGCTGGCATACAGCAGGGACTCAATAAATGGAGGCTTGGGGCTGGATATAAGGTACACAGTGGGGTGAGAGTAGAGACACCTAGAAAGCTAATGTTTCCCATTTGTCCATCTGCCCCAAGAAAAATCTGTTTGTCTGCAGAGACAAGAGTAATGTGTGCTTTCCTTGAAGGACAGAATTTAGATACAGGTCTACCAGAAAGGCAATACAAAGAGTGGCAGTGTCCTCATGGTTTATTTATCTCTTCTGGGAAATGCTAATATTATTCTGTGTCCCTTTCTTCTTCTAACTTTATGTAATTAGAAAGATAAAAATTGTGTTTACCCGCATGCACATGGAGAAAGATGGGGCAGCCAACGATATCAAGGAGCTTATACAAGGTAATTTACAAGCAGCCCAGAATGTTCATTTTGCTCTATCTACATTTTGCAAGCTTGAAAAACAGCTAATTTGGCATGCAGTGTTTGAGAGTCAAGACAAAGAGAAGAGTTATGAAGAGTCATGTGGAGGAGGAGAAGTTCCCAGACTGTGAAGTATGATGAAGGGGTAGGAGCCTGGATTCCCTGAGTTCCTCCAGGAGGTGGGAGTTGGGAAAGAAGTAGCCATTGGTACAGTGGCTATGAAGGACATGGAAATCTAAAGCTGTCTTATTAACATAGATGCAGAGGCAGGGGGACATCACTTTCTGTCTTCAATCATTCTGTTCTTTAGGACTTTTGAATGTGAACTAAGGGTAGGCTGCTAAATGTTTTACAAATAGCTTTCTAAAAGGGAAAAAAGTCTGATATATCATGTTACTGATTTCTGTGGTGTAAATGTTCCCACCATCACTGATTTCAAACTACAGATATACTAAAATTATGTTGATAATATGTCTGCTTTTGTTCACTGACATGAATCAACTATAATACATCACTACCAGACATTCTTATACCCCACAAAGCCACACATGCTCTGATTGCCTGGGAACCCACTGCCTTGCCATGTTCTCCTCTCCATACCCTTCCATGGTAACCTTGGCCTTAAGTTGTTCAGATATACTGTGTTTGTTCTGCTCACAGAGCCTTTACATGTGCTGAGGCACACACTCATCTAAGACCATGCATCAGGACCATATTCTTCCTCTCCTCA